GGCCATCGCTACAATCTGATTTTGGATTGACTCATCGTGCACGTCATCGGCACGTAATTCCATCTGCAGGCCATCATTTAACCACTAGAACTAGGTCTGATAATATAATACAAAAAACGCTATGAGTCTAACTGATGCATGTTTTTTTTTTACACCGCAAACTGCCGCTYCTTTGAATACGTCACGCATTTGTGGAAAAAAATAATATCACGTGCAGTGTTAACTTTTCGAATTATTCGCATATATTATAATTTGATCATACGCCATATACGGCCGAGATCGCTTTTCCCCTGATTTTCACGTGTTTGGAAATCGGGAAGTCATGGTGGTCCTTCCAGTTGTACACGAAACAGCAATACTATTATTATTATTATTGCCTACAGACATTGTGTGTATGGATTGCGGTACTACTGCCCACATAAACCACTTATATATTATATTGTTATTATTATTATTATTATTATTATTATTATTATTATTATTATTATTACATAGTAATCGTGATGATAATGTCGACGGCGTTACCGCGAGACGGTGGCGCGCGCGCCATTGGCCGACCGCCGGGCGGCGCGCGTGGCCGTTAAAAAGTGGCGGGCGAACGCGGCGTGCACGTCTCGCGAGGATTCCGACGAGGAACGCGTCGGCAGTAGACTTGTACGCGGAGGCAGCGACGACGACGACGACGACAAAATTATTATTGCAGCGTGCTCCTTCGAATCCGTTTGTTAGTTGTTTTTTATTTCACCGAAGATTTCACCCTTTTGGCTTCACACGGTCTCCGCGTCCAGACTATAATTTAAAATAATATTATTTAAATATTACCATATAAATATTATCTGAAGCCATCGTCATCGCGGCGATTATACAAAGCGACACCGTGAGACGCGATCWCCGCAGACGACGACGAAATCGTTGTCGTCGCGATATATGACAAAAAATAATAATAATAATATCAAAATATTAATTGCCGCTGAAGGTGTGCGAAATCGCGATTTTCTCGTTWCGACGAGGAGCTCGCGTAGTACAACAGTCGTACACGGTGTCGCCGTTGACCGCGGCCAGAAGACGCGCACGGAGTAGACCGTCGTCGTCGTTCCGCGATTTYATCGYCTTCATTAATTAATAAGTAAGTATTTTACATGAATACATCAAAATATTAATGATTGTACTGGGTATGGGATTGTATTTTTGTGTTGACAATTCACACGTAATAGACCGTCGTTGAAGCTCGAAAGTCCACCACACAGTTGATATTATTATTTATACGCAATCATAAATAGTTTATTATTAAATTAAATAATATATCAAAAGTAAATAAGAGCGAAATATATTTTATATCACAGCACTGCGGTTTGGCGTGGGGTAGTAGTTAATAGGTGTATCAGCTCTACCATTTCACACGATTTTTATCTAAGCTTTAAATGCTTTTTAATGATTTAATATAACATTATATGATGTACGATTTAGATACCATTAATACATTACGTGATGCGATTAATAGTATCACTATATCATACAGCATGCATATAAAAACACTATTACTTCATTATTTATTATTATTTATATGCAACTATTATTTATTTTTTTTTTTTTAAATGAACAATTGTCGTAATAAAAATAAGTAAAAGAACTAGTTTTTATTTTACATAATGTATTTTTATTATGCACCTATCTAAAATATATAAAAATTAAAAATATATTATTTATGAAACTAAAAATTGTTTGGGGTGATGGATAATTTAATTTAAAAATAATCACCAAGTTTTTACCAAATATCGGTAAGTAGTAAACCCAGGAATTGTCAATGCGTAAGTTATATGATTTCTGTGTCCACCAAAATATATTTTTGAATAAAGTTAAACAATTTTGAACACTAAATGAATAATAATAAGACGATACCACGCATTTATATTATACACAACTAATTAAATTATTATTTTGAGGTAAATATATAATGATATAGATTACCAATGATAATGCTAATTCCCAAAAATGAGAAACATTATCTTAAAGTTCAAGTTCAATTTCTTTGAATARCTACTATGATTAGAATTGTTATTTAATCTGTGTAAGAACCATGAAAATGCTTGAATTCTAGTTCTTAATAGTTATAAACATAAAATGGCAACACAATGATTAATAAAACGTTTGAAATAAAATGTNTTTATATTATACACAACTAATTAAATTATTATTTTGAGGTAAATATATAATGATATAGATTACCAATGATAATGCTAATTCCCAAAAATGAGAAACATTATCTTAAAGTTCAAGTTCAATTTCTTTGAATARCTACTATGATTAGAATTGTTATTTAATCTGTGTAAGAACCATGAAAATGCTTGAATTCTAGTTCTTAATAGTTATAAACATAAAATGGCAACACAATGATTAATAAAACGTTTGAAATAAAATGTAAATACCTTTAATCGAAATTACATGCTTGAATTTTTAACTAAGTACCTACCAACTATAAAAAAAAAAAATACTCACTTATTTGATAAATAAAACATTAATTGATCATAAATACTGCAGTATTCGTCCACTAACAGTATCCAATATATTACAACAATATAATTAAAAATATCCTTTTAAATTAATTTCATAAAACATCGCATGGTGTTGTAAAACAAATAAAACAAAACATTTAAGAAAAAAAAAACCGATCACGTTTAAAACGAAAAAATTGTAAAACATAATTCAATTACTCTTGGTTGGGATTTCAAAGAAGGAATTCGAACATTTCGCCCCATCACATCGTACTTTTCACCACGGTATTTTTCGGTGTACTGGACATTGTATACAGCGTTAAGGTTAATGTTTGGTTTTTCCATTCTATCTAGGGTGTTTTTTCATAAGAAGTTGACACTTATTTTCGATTTAAATTTTAAACTATCTGATGGAACGCTGCAGTGAGCTGGGGATATAATCGGGTGTATCGGGTGTAAGTGTGTAATGTATACACAGATAAAATAAAAAATCATTACATGCGAATTGTATTATGTTGTTTTGTGCCTGGATAGTTCAATAATTTGTTTTTTTTTTTTGGAGTAAGCTTCTCGCTTGTTTTAAAATTAAAAACTTATGGATTATAGTTGAGTCTTTATTCAATAAATTTACCATTTTTTCTTGTTCAATATGACATGTGCAGTATATCATTATATGTCTGTAATACAAATACATCAAAAACGAGTGAAACATCTTTTCWGAACATAATATTTAATTCTAAAATCTAACAATAATGTTAAAAAAAATCACATGAGAAAATAAAAACAAACTCGCTGATGATTACAAAAGTACAAAAAAT